GACACGGTTGTGGATATCTTGTTAGTTATGTCAGTTCAGAAAATACTTGAACAAAAACCAAATTTTTTTACTCAGATATATTGTTTAATTATCTGTCACTTTTCTGTTCATCTTATGTTACTATTATTTGTACATGTTTTTTATTAAAAAAATGACCAGGCTTCTACAGACCAGGCCAGGATAGACCGAGAACAATGGCAGGTAGACAAGCAAGGCCCAGGAAATATATCGACAGGCCCAGGCAGATCTAAACATTACGGGCCTGACGCAGGCAGACCAGGCCTCAAAAGTGTCGGCCTGTTTCGAGCCCTGATACACGATGTTTGTGTTGACAAAGATATAAACAGTTGCTAACATGGGCAGATTGAAATGAAGAATTTTGAAGAATTACATAATTTTTCAGAAGGGGTAATAAGTTTTTTTAACATACTATATTATGAAAACCGCTTTCCTTCCGCTGGATTTCATGGATTTTGCTCATTTTGTGATATCTTTGTTGTAGAAAAGTCTGGTACAACAGAGCAATAAGGAACTATTGCCGTTAAATTTTTCTCCTAGGAGGGGTAATTGCCTTGCTGACGCTCCGCCAATGGTTGCTGACTCAAATTCACGGTTGAACAATAAATTATTAGATAAAAAGAGGAGCATGAAGTTGGCTAAAATAAACTTTTGATTTAAGACAAGATGTAATTCATGTTTTCTTTGATTATAAAAAACAGAAAATAATTATGAAAACAGCGAGTTTCAATCTGTCATTGTTGAAAAGAGTAATGGGTAAATTCTGTGGTATGAAAGTTGTAGGCGTTTGTTTCTCATACGGAAAGATGTTTTATTTTTAGCAAACGCAATTTCGTTCATCTTTATCTGCTAATGGGATTGAAATTCTAGAATAAGCCGAAAAGTACGTTAAAAGTTGTCATAATTGGTCGACTTTGCATAAAAACAGAGATTTTCACCAATTTCAATGAATTTTTCGGCAGATTCTATAATTTCAATTCCATTAGTAGATAAAGATGAACGAAACGGCGTTTGTCTCGTACCAAAACTTGATTGAAATTGGAGATTCTTAATAGCGAAAAATAGTGATTTCTATAAGCGTCTACTTGAAATTGGTGTATCTTAGGAGAAACTGAGTTCATCGTTTGGATAGATTTTTTTTTGTGTAATAAAATAAGTAGGAGTCTCTTATTTTCATTTTTAGCTTGCTGTTTAGATATTATTGATCGTTATGAATTTATATTTATCTTGCTGATATTTGGTAATATCAAGATCGTACGTATACACGTATCATTAGTATCATTGTGCATTATGATATGAAATTCAAAAAATGAATCAAAATTTAATTTATTTCATATCCTTCTGTCTCATTCATTCCATCGTAGACATGGATTAATGCTCCGAAGGGAGTAGGTTTCGAACATAGAGATGTACCATCACTACTACCCATGAAAGGGTAAATAGCACTAAAAGAATTGTACGTATTTCAAAATGTCATTCTAATGTTTGAAAATTTGAGCTTTTGATATAGGAAAAAAGAAAATTTATCTACAACTTAACTATTCTACATATATAAGATAAATAAGAGTATTCACATGTTTGTTATAGAGCTCTGCATTAGATGAACATGTCCACAGATATAGATAGGTTTTTTTAATCTGTTCATAGACACAGATGCACATGGACAAACTGAAAAATTTTTAAATTTTTTTCAATACCAGGATTTGATTGGACGGATACTAGTGACAAAATGTTTGGTCATATGAAAGAAAGAAAGAAGCAAAGAAACAAAATATAGTATATATCGTTTTTTTTTCTTTTCTGCTACTCTCACCACATGTTTTTACTGCACTGAACAAAGAAAAACGTGTTTACCTCGGCGCTCTATATAACTACATGCAAATATAGCCTACTGTTACCCTTGCTCCCTCGTGTCGAAGAAAACAAAGCAAATGTCTTTTTCACTTCACAGGTGCATTTGGGATTTGCAGTAATTAATTAGACAAAAGAGCAGCCGTATTCAAATGGAGAAACCTGAAGGAAATAAAGAAAAATGAATGAAATTTTCATACACAAAACTTGTCTAAAAAAACGTGATGGTGGACATCAACAGAAAAAGATTTTTATTCATGGATAAAAAAAAGGTGTACATGCACACCTCCAGTTTGTTACCACGTTGTGTTCTCTTTTCATAAGGACAAGTCGACCTACTTTTTTTCGATCTACGAAAGAGTAGCGAGTCCATAAAATAATTTCTTGTCATTCTTTTACCCTTTACTCCTCTGCGCTTATTTCAAAAATGTTGTACTTCTTACAGAATATATAACCATATCATCAATGCATAGATCAATATCAAATTTTACTAGCATCTATATAACAAATGAAAATTTTTCGCACATTCATCTCTCTGGATATTTAAATCATTTTATAAAGATTTTATTTTTAAAAATAAATAATATGTACATAAGAGCTTAACATCTGAGTAATAGTAAAACATGAAGACATCCACAGATAGCCAAAAATAACTACACAGATATTCACGTCTACGGACATGGGAACGACACAGAAGTGAATGTCTGTGTAGTTATTTTTGGTTGTCTGTGGGTGTTTCTGTACTGTCTGTGTAACTGTCAGTGGCCATCTGTGGATGTCTTTGTGGTGTATGTGGGTGTCTTCGTGTTTTACTATTACCCCTTAATATCTTCATTCGTTCAGAACTATGCCAATATAAAATAGATTTAGAGAGTTTCTATAACTTGTGTTAAGAGAACTTTTTTCACTAACATTTTCAAAAATATTATCAATATTTTGACGAAATCTTCGTTTTAAAGAAAGAAATTCACATGTATATTATGGTTTAAACAGAAAAATAATTTTTTTAAAGAATAATATTAGTTCACAACATACCAAATGTTCCTTGTTGACATTAGTATTTGTTAATTATACAAAAATATACACTCTTTCGATCTACAGTAAGTAGTCATTAAACATTTACAAGCAAGTGCAAGGTATTTCACGAATGATAGAAGATCAATGTTACTTTTTATTAATGTCAATTTCATCCGATGGATAATGACAATGACAAATAATGAAGAAAAAGAAAAATATATCATAATACTTGTATAGATTTAGTTAAGCTATAAAATATTTAATTTGAAGTAAAAAAAATTTGATATAAATTAATAGAGAAAAGCACCATATGATGGGACACTAATTATACATGATTTGAAAATATATTTTTTTTCTTCTCCTCTTCTCTCAGGTAAAAGTAGATTTGACATAAAAAATAAATTTCATGCGGTATTATGTATGCATTTACCTAATACGAATATAGAAAAATAAGAAAATCACGTTGTTTTTCATAATAGTATATCTAAATAACGAAAGTAGTTTGCATTGATGAAGATTAAGCAATGTAATTATGATATTGAAATAAACAATGTTTTAGTACAGGTTACAGCAAAGCATGGCGGGGAACGAAACGATTAATATATTTTGATTATTTTACCAAATAGAAACGAGAAAAACCTTGGAAAAAAATATTTAAAATATCTAGTTTTACCCCCACTGTATATATGAGAAGAAAAAAAACGTAAATAAAATAAGAAAACCAAATTTTTGAAATATACAAAAAAATTTTCATTTATTTTTTATTTTTATGCATCTGCAACTTACAAGACTACTGTTGGTACTATAAAATATAGTTATTCTGTTCATGTATACAACAAAAACAAAAATATAATGAGGCAAACGTTTTGAATACAGAATAATCTATAACTGAAGGTTAATGTACATGGCATTTTATTTATTTATATACATTTATTTGAAAATAAAAAGAAAAATTGACAAAAAAAAGTAAAAATGTCTGAAAATCTATGGAGGCACTACTTTCGTCTTGACAGACAATTTTCTAATATAACGAGGTCGTATTAGTTTTGAAAATAATGTAATCTTGCATAGAATTGATATGACAAGTGACAAGCAGTTTCCTAATCAACGTCAACAAATTTCACCACTACTATTTATTGTCACCATAGCAAGAGATATAAAAGAGTAGAGAAGTTTATCTAATAAAGATACAATAGTCAACGATTGAACAAAAAAATAAATCAAAACCGTATTGCCAATGATAAAACGAAACCCTAAAAATAGAATAAAACTGATGATAATGGACGTAAACATTTCTACAGTAGAGAAAAATAGACGTTTGTTCATCTTTATTCAGATATTAATGAATTTTATACTTATATTTTAACATTTAGAGAAAACAAGAATAAGTTTAAATAAAAAAGTGAAAAACCTTTTGCCCTTTCTTCCTCTTACTTCAATATAGTATTGATTCGTTTTACAAACGATATTTCTTTTAGTATTTTATGCAATTGAAATAAACATATTTGTTCAATAAAATCTTTAGAAAATTTTATGAACTTTTTTCTATATTCTATTTATTAGAATGTAAAAAGTATGAATGATAAGAAAATGAGACTAAAAAATTTGACTTTTAATGTCACATAAAAAAAGTTTAGCAAAATATTCTAAGAAAATAGTTTTTTTTAATTTAAAACACATATGTCTACAAATCTATTGAATTTTTGACTAGTATAATACACATCGTTTTATTTTTCATATGATATTGATTCTTTATAGATCTTTTTTTTTTTGTTTTATTAGCATTCTATGTCTCATAGTAAAATTTTTATTCTATCTATTTGAAGATGTTGTATAGTAAACATGAGATATTTTTTAATTTAAATTTGTTTATTAAAAATTGTTTACTATGTTAAAACGTTTTTTTTTTTTTTTTATTTTATTACTATATAAAATATGTATAATTTTTTTTTTTGTTTCTTTTTGTTTCTTTTTTTTGTTTCTATGAGCGCTTCAACTGCTAACAAAATAAAAGATTTTGAGAAAAATCAATATCTTATCATTTTTTCAAAACAAAAATGTCTTCGTATAACAGATATTGAGAAATAAAGATTATTTTTTTTTGTTCTATATGCTTATTTTGATAACAGTAATTCATCAAGTTCGTCACACACATAAGAATTATTTTGAGAATAAATAGTATCACTAAAATCTGGAAATGTTAAATCTTGAGAAAATAAATTAAAATTATCCAATGTCAAATCATAGGATGTTGTCGTTGTTGGAATCAATGTATTCATCGATGTGTCAAATGTTGTCTGTATACCATTATTATTATAATTAAATGTTGTTGTTGATGATGATGACGATGATGGTGGTAAATAATTGAATGTTTGTTGATTATCATCTGTTGTTGTTAGATTATCTATTGGAAATACTGAGAATAAATCATTTTCATTTAATAAAATTGTACCATCATTTTGTTCATTTTTCATACAAATATGTTCATGTGTTATCAATCGACTTTCTAATTGTAATTTTTGATCTTCTAATACGTTTATATTATTAATTAATGAATTTGATTGTTGTTCAAGATCTCTAATTTGTTTTTTTAAACGTTCTTCAATACTTAATCGTCGAATTCGAACTTTTTCAGCTGCTGCACGATTTCTTGCTCGACGTATTTGACGTTTATGTTCTTCTTCCGGTGAAAGTATATCATATTTTGATCGACGACCAGTAGCAAGAGTAGGAGCAGGATTTTTTCTTGGACGAACTCTAATTGGACCAAATTCAATAATATCTTTATGTTTTAAATTAAACGATGTCGATGTTATCATTGTTTCATCATCATCATTTAAACTAGATGAATAATTACTATTTGAATCTATATGTTCGATACCACTATCCGATCCAACATTGATAGGATAGGGCATTGATTCAGTTTTAATAAAAAAATTTTTTGTTTGCTGTTGAACTTGTTCTGATTGTCGTTGTTGTTTTTGATTAGCATCAGTGGTATTCGAAGGTATAATATTAAATTTACCTGTACACATTTCGTATGTTGTAGATGCAATAAAAATTGATCGCATATAATTTAGAAAATATTTGATTGATAAATAGATGAAAACAAATTAGATAGATGTAAAGATGTCTGGATTAATTGTTAGGATCTGAATGCGCTGTTGGTAATAAAGATTCTACTTACAACATGATTTTATATACAGTTTTAGGTTTTGCTTATTTATTTACATGTAGGCGTCAAGAAGACGAAGAACAAAAAAGAAAAAAAAATATATGTTTTTTGTTTTTTCTTCTTTTTCACATGTCAGAAAAAAGAACACAAAATCAAAGACCTTGAGTGGGAGAGAAGAGCAAATATGCACATGTTCTTCTTATATATGACACAATTAATTGATAAGAGAAATGAGTGTGTGGAGGATATTTATTTACTTTTTCCTTGTACTTGAAAGCTTGAATTTTGAGTCATACTGCCATTATAAAAAAAAAGGGAAAGTCTACATAACCGGTTAAACAAGAAACAAAAGTTCGAGGGGACGGTTTCTCTTTTCTTTTTTCATAATATTTTTTGTTTTCTTTTATTTTTTTTATACACATAATCTAATCGATTAAATACATAGACAGTGGAGAACTGAACCTGGATGACTAAAAGTGTAGATAAAAAAGAAATAATGTAAAATATTATTAAAACAATTATACCATGTGGGAAAACAAACCCACCCTCGCGCTCTTCTACTCTATGATGTCAAAACGAACTGAAAAAGTATAAAATGTGTGGTGCGTTTATTATTAAAAACAAATATTATACGATTGTATTGATTTTATATAGAAACTGTTTCTTTAGTTTAGAACATATTAATATGCAATATGAGAAAAATGAATCGAAAGAAATTTGTCTATCATTTTGATATTGAAGTAAAAATATTGTTTGTCTAGGATACGACGATCAACATTCGTTGTCATATCTTTATAAGATAGCAGAATTTAATAAACTAATGCAACATATAGACAGAATTTTTCTAGTCTATGGTTAAATTAAAATACAATGGACTGACTCGATCTCACAGAAGACGCATACTGTAACGGAAGCATAAGACTGAAGAAGAATGAACTACTTCTGATATTGAATCAGATTTTTTAGTCTTATAACAATCATTTTATTTTGCGTAAAACTCTTCTTGGTTTCGCTGATATTTTTTGAAAGACTGGATGGATTAAATATCCTTTGTGTAAGATATAGCAATAATACAATGCAACACTCATGAGACAAATGGAAGATTTCGAAAAAGAAAAAAGATATACAAGTGCAAAAATATTTTTAGCATTTTTTTTTGCTACTCACCATCAATATTTCCTCTGATAGTTCAAAAAATATTCATGACTGCTTACTATAAATCCGACAAATTAAAAAGACACGTCCATTGTACAATGATTTTGAACAGTGAATGAGAGAAACGTTCTTGTTTATTTGTAAAGCTATTTGTCTGAAATTTCGAAAATAGTCGATGAAAATATCCAGTGTGAATAATTCATGACAAATTTCTTTCGTTTGCGTTGTGTGAATAATTCATGACAGAAACTTCTTTTGTGTTGACTATCCAGAATATACCAAGTTAAGGCATACTTTTCATTGGTTATACTCTACGAAAAGGGAAACGAACGAAAACGATGTCGCACACGTATATTTTTATCGTTCAAAGACCTGAAAAAAAGTGAAAATAACTAATCGACTTCATACAATTTGATTCAGATTTTCACCTGGATCACGAATATGTTGTTCATTTTGAATAAAAAGCCTTGCATAATTAAAAATTAAGTTTTTTATTTTGTTTCACTCTGAACTATATGGAAAAAGGAAAGAAAAGAGAAACATTACAATATAATAATTTTCTTTTCTCTTTTCCATGTGCGCCCTAGTCGAGAGAAATCCTGCGGGAGTCCCGATGGATTCCCGCGAGAGTTTTTTTCTCAAAAAATCCATAGCGAGTCCTACGAGACTTCACAAAAAGTTCCGCAAGAGTCCCATACACAAAAAATTTTATTTTTTGAAAAAACCAGTATGAATAAAGAGGCAGGTAGTAAATTCATGTGTACACAGCAAATTCAGTTCTCTGTTCCCTTCCCTACAAAAAAATATTTTATCGGCACTGGTTGTGCACGGGTGCGCACCGGTGCCGAATAATTATTTTTTCCGGGCACCGATGCGCTTCGGTGCCAGAAAGAATGTAAAAATCTCGCACCGATGCGCACCGGTGCCGAAATTTTGTTTTCAATCACCATTTTGTTTTGTCAATTTCTATCTATATTAACGCTACGGTCTACTTCTAATATTTCGAATGTCTTTCTGATTTCATTTTTTCCTTCTCATAAGAGAAGTGCCGAGGCAATGCCGCATGGTTTTGGCATGTCGATGTGGTACTGATCAGTGCCGCACTCTAACACAAAATTCAGCATAAACAACTATAATAAAGAACTAATTAAATTGATTAAATAAATTATCAGTGCGGCACCGATTTTTGCTAGTGCGGCACTGATTTTTACCAGTGCGGCACTCTTTCAGCAGAAATATATCGGCACCGATGCGCACGGGTGCCATTCGGCACTGGTTCGGCACTTGCTGGGCACGGGTGCGCACCGGTGCCAACCAGTGCCAGTGACCGATGGCATCCCATGCGCACCAGTGCGCACTGATTTTTACCAGTGCCGCACTGGAATTTTTTTTATAGGGTTATCTAAGGCCGATTTAGAATCAAGATGCTTGCGCATGTTAATCCTAAATGGGGCTAGTCCAATTTGGAATCAGGCTAGGCCAAGTTAGAATTCCTAACTGGACTAGTCTGATTCTGAATTAAACTGGGCTCAAGTAGAATTCTAATTGGAGGCTAGGCTGATTCTGAATTGAACTAGGCTCATTTAGAATTCTGTAATAAAATATGGATTCTGTATCAGAATACGATAAAACAAACAATCTTCAGAATAATTAGGAAAAATTAATTAGCCTTCAATTACAGAGATGTACGAGATCGGAATCAAAAAACTTTTCAGTAGTTGGAAACTTCTGAGAATAATAGCCATTTTTGCTACAGGTTTTTGACAGTTTTATCAAAAAACAAGTGACTGAAAAATTTTTTTTCTGAAAGCGGATTTGGAACATTTTTTGATTGAGAGCGAAAAATCGTAATCTTGCTCATGTCCACCTTCTATTAGATCGAACAACTTTTAGTATTTCTACTTTAACAAAGAAACATTAATTCTTCTCTCTAGAGAGAAGAATTAATGTTTCTTTGTTAAAGTAGAAATACTAAAAGTTGTTCGATCTAATAGAAGGTGGACATGAGCAAGATTACGATTTTTCGCTCTCAATCAAAAAATGTTCCAAATCCGCTTTCAGAAAAAAAATTTTTCAGTCACTTGTTTTTTGATAAAACTGTCAAAAACCTGTAGCAAAAATGGCTATTATTCTCAGAAGTTTCCAACTACTGAAAAGTTTTTTGATTCCGATCTCGTACATCTCTGTAATTGAAGGCTAATTAATTTTTCCTAATTATTCTGAAGATTGTTTGTTTTATCGTATTCTGATACAGAATCCATATTTTATTACAGAATTCTAAATGAGCCTAGTTCAATTCAGAATCAGCCTAGCCTCCAATTAGAATTCTACTTGAGCCCAGTTTAATTCAGAATCAGACTAGTCCAGTTAGGAATTCTAACTTGGCCTAGCCTGATTCCAAATTGGACTAGCCCCATTTAGGATTAACATGCGCAAGCATCTTGATTCTAAATCGGCCTTAGATAACCCTATAAAAAAAATTCCAGTGCGGCACTGGTAAAAATCAGTGCGCACTGGTGCGCATGGGATGCCATCGGTCACTGGCACTGGTTGGCACCGGTGCGCACCCGTGCCCAGCAAGTGCCGAACCAGTGCCGAATGGCACCCGTGCGCATCGGTGCCGATATATTTCTGCTGAAAGAGTGCCGCACTGGTAAAAATCAGTGCCGCACTAGCAAAAATCGGTGCCGCACTGATAATTTATTTAATCAATTTAATTAGTTCTTTATTATAGTTGTTTATGCTGAATTTTGTGTTAGAGTGCGGCACTGATCAGTACCACATCGACATGCCAAAACCATGCGGCATTGCCTCGGCACTTCTCTTATGAGAAGGAAAAAATGAAATCAGAAAGACATTCGAAATATTAGAAGTAGACCGTAGCGTTAATATAGATAGAAATTGACAAAACAAAATGGTGATTGAAAACAAAATTTCGGCACCGGTGCGCATCGGTGCGAGATTTTTACATTCTTTCTGGCACCGAAGCGCATCGGTGCCCGGAAAAAATAATTATTCGGCACCGGTGCGCACCCGTGCACAACCAGTGCCGATAAAATATTTTTTTGTAGGGAAGGGAACAGAGAACTGAATTTGCTGTGTACACATGAATTTACTACCTGCCTCTTTATTCATACTGGTTTTTTCAAAAAATAAAATTTTTTGTGTATGGGACTCTTGCGGAACTTTTTGTGAAGTCTCGTAGGACTCGCTATGGATTTTTTGAGAAAAAAACTCTCGCGGGAATCCATCGGGACTCCCGCAGGATTTCTCTCGACTAGGGCGCACATGGAAAAGAGAAAAGAAAATTATTATATTGTAATGTTTCTCTTTTCTTTCCTTTTTCCATATAGTTCAGAGTGAAACAAAATAAAAAACTTAATTTTTAATTATGCAAGGCTTTTTATTCAAAATGAACAACATATTCGTGATCCAGGTGAAAATCTGAATCAAATTGTATGAAGTCGATTAGTTATTTTCACTTTTTTTCAGGTCTTTGAACGATAAAAATATACGTGTGCGACATCGTTTTCGTTCGTTTCCCTTTTCGTAGAGTATAACCAATGAAAAGTATGCCTTAACTTGGTATATTCTGGATAGTCAACACAAAAGAAGTTTCTGTCATGAATTATTCACACAACGCAAACGAAAGAAATTTGTCATGAATTATTCACACTGGATATTTTCATCGACTATTTTCGAAATTTCAGACAAATAGCTTTACAAATAAACAAGAACGTT